CGCGCTCGCATGGAGACTGAGTTCAATTCCAAGCCCAGGAAAATGACATTCTGACTGGGAGTCAGATTGTTTTCGCTCGCATTCACCTTGAACCCGAGGGATGTGATGTGCGCGAGCACCCGGCCGGTGTCCAGCGACACCTTCTCCTTTGATTTGGCTATGATGAGCCAGTAAGTCAGAATTCTCAGCCCTGATAGTCTCAGGGGCGCCACGCCCACCTCCACACACAGACAGAAAGTTCGGGGACTCAAATTGCACCCGAACGGAAGAACTGTGAATTCGTAACAAACGCCTTGGTAGGCGAAATGAAGATATTTCCTGTGTGGAGGGTAGATGCTTATGTGAAAGAAAGCATCTTTCAGATCGACTGATGTGAACCAGTCGTTCTGCTTTATGGCACAGGCGAGAGAGGCTTGTGTCACATTCTGAAATTGAATTTCCTCAAATGTTTGTTCAACACTCGAAGGTCCAATATAGGGCGGGGGGGCGCCACGCCTTTTGGAACATGAAAATACCAGGAATAAAAACCATGGTTTATCAGATTGGGTGGCACCATCTGAATCGCTCCCTTGTTAGGAGGGAGGAAATTTCCTCTTTCAGAATGTGTGAGGCGTTTTCTTCTGTGTGAGAAGAGAGAACGCCGTTGAAATGCGGAGGTTTTATTGCAAACTGCAGCTTGTAACCCTGGGTTACAGTACGCAAAAACCCACTCGGGCGCTGAAACGGCTTGCCAAGCCGCTTTGTGACTCGCGAGCGCCCCCGCTCGGGCCGGAGCGGAGCTGTATGGGCCCAGCTGGTTCATTTGTGATGCAAAGGCGCCATCTAGTGGGAACACTAGAGGCAACATGCAGGGGTTTGGAGGGATTTCCTCTCTCTGCAGTGAGAAGTTTTCTTTGCGGAGAGAGGTCTTCTCTCCAAAACGAATTCATTTGATTCGTAGCTTTGTGTGTTTTGTGTTGGGCAAACACTGGGGCCAAAGCCTTTATTGACAGAGTGAGGGAAACATAGTGTGGTGTCCACTGTACTGAACTTTCCCTCACAAGGTGTCCCCAAAAGTGGGAAAAACACATATCTCCTGAACACATGAACTGGGCAGTCTCAAGTGCAGGCAGAAAAATAATATCCGCGGAGAGAGATACTCTCTCTGTAACGGATTTATTTAATGCGTTTTTTTTTTTTTTTTTTTTTTTTTTTAAGTGTTATTTAGTTATGTGTGTGTTTTGTGTTGGGGAACACAGGGGCCTACACACACAACGTCCACTAAAAACACATCGGCTGGACAGCCGCAACTGAGCTGTGTGAGCCCAGTTGGTTGATTTATGAGGCAATGGCGACCTCTTGTGGACGGACTCAGGGCGACATGCATGGGATCAGAGAGATTTGCTCTCTATGTTGCCGCTGGCAGATATATAAATCTGCACGAATTCATTTGATTCGTTTATTAAATGTGTTGTTTAGTAATGTGTGTGTTTGTGTTGGGAAACACTGGGGCCGAAGCCTTTTGATAACTGGGTGAGGGGAACCAAGTGCGTGCGGTGTGGTAACACTGCTATGTACTTTTCCTCACGACAGCCCCCCTCCCCCGTAACTTGTTGTTGTGGGGGGGAGGGGGACACACACACACAACGTCTACTAACATACGGGCTGGGCAGCCACGCGAGGGGATTAACCGACCGTAGGTGGGAGACCCTGTTAGTTAACGTTACTCCCAATGGTCGAACAACAGGCAGGCCGCTTGCGTTCGGGACCGCCTTCCTAGGAAGGCATACATTGAAAACCTCAACACGTAATCGTAACAAATCAAGGCCCGTGAGACCGTGTTAACAGTCTAGCGGGACGCTCCGGCCGTTCAGACTGGGCGGTGGTCCCAGCGTTTACCCGTCGTACATATTCCTATCCTGGTCGGTGCCGCTCTGTGGAGCTGGCCACACAATGTTGAAACGAACGGCCGCTCGCTCACAAACTTCCAGGAGGATGGACGGAGGCAAAGCCGCGTGAACGCTAGCCTAGGGAACGCTAAAAGGACCGCGTCATCCCCGTCGCCGGAACCGACCGGTTCGTCAACGAGAGTGAGGTTTTCCCGCGAAGATGTCCTCTTCAGGGAATGCGGATTGGGCTGATGTCAGCTCAAATATTTTAGAGAGGTGGCGCTCCGGGAGTCCCCCGGTAGCGCGTCATCATCACCGTGTCTCTCCTCCGAGTCAGAAAGGCCGAGCACGGCGCGCTGTGTCGTGCAACTAAAAGCCGGCTTAGTAAAAGCTACATGGGCAGCAATTACAATGACCGCAATTCCCCGGGTTCTCCAAAGCTTGAGCGTGTTAAGCCCAAGCAGACCGCGCAGAACGAGAGGGTCCTTATAGCGGCGATGAGAGCACCACACGCGGCCGGGCAGGCTCGTCGTGCTAGGCTGTTCCCCGGGGGAAGCGGCTGTTTAGACGGTCACATAGCCATGGGCGGGCCAGCGGTGAAGAACTCGGAAAAATCCGTGGCGGGCAGCCATGTAAAGGAGGAGCAGGTGAAGGACAGCGAGAGCTCGGGCGGCTCCGGATGCAAAAAACACAGCGGATAGGCTGAAGAAACGACTGTCACTCACGTCTGGCGGAGGCTGATCTGGCGAATGCGATATGTCCTCCTGAAGACTCGAAAGTGAGCAGCGTAACGTTAATCCAACCGAACTGTGTCAATGCAGAGATCGCGAGAAGCGAATGTCAACTGAGGAATAGCAGCGCGCCCAGCTGTGATATGCCCGTAGGTAAGGGGGTGTGGCCTCACCTGGCATTGGCTGCGCGCTTCTGTCTGTTAGCCAGACTTGGTGCAATTGGATGCTTCTGCAGAGGTCAGGTACGGATGCCCTTCCTATAGGTGGATCTCGAAACGAGATGATGAAAGAGAACCTTGCCGTTGCTAGCCTTGCAGCATGCGAGTCAAACTACAGGAATGTGTTCCAATCTCAGGTAGAAGCTTATGTCAATTTCAGCCTTGAATAATTCGATGTTAATTAGATATTCTTCAACTTAAATGTTATCTAGCTGTCATAAGCCAGGTACATGCACTTAAGTTTACCTCAGGCTCTTCAAAAACCATTTTACCAAGGTGGCAAGGTGCACCAGGAACATTTCATTACCGTGCTCCTCCAAGTGCTGGCTGGATGCATTGACATTGGACCCGCTTCAGTGTTGGAGACATGCAATGCTGGATTCACGGAATGGGTGACAAGGTGCAGGAAGCACCAGATACACCTCATCACTCATTGCCAGCAATATTAAATTTCCATGCATCTCCTCTTGGCCTATGATCAGCCCGGAACTGACCCAGCGATTTAAGATCCATCCATAATATACTTCAATTAAAAGCACTCTTTTGTGTTATACTTATTACCTTTTATGGCCACAATTATTTTTGGAAAGTCATTTAAATAGTTTTTTTTTATCTCTGCTACAGTTTAGAAAAAGTTCTAGTTGGCATCTACAAATAGTCATGCTCAATTAACTCAAAAGTTCATTTTTATTTTGCTAAAGGCCTGCTAAATCAGGATTTGTAATGTTTTTTATTTAATTTTTTTTATTTTTGGAGGCATTGGAGCCATTGGCAGCTGTCAGCACCTCATTCAGATACAGTAAATATTGCGGCTGCAGTTTGCAAGATGTCACACAGATTTATTTCCAGGATTTTGGTTTGTCACGAAAATCCATTTCTCGCACAGTGATGTCAGAGCTGTTTTTTTCACAGCCTGTGAGCCGCCGTTACCGGGCTGAAGATCTGACTGGTGCTAATCAATGCTAGCACCGCACAAAGACATCTAGCGGTAATGGGATGCAGTATATCATGTTGTGTCTTCTCGGCACTACAGGATGGAACCGCGGTGTCAGAAATGTGCTGGAATGCCCTGCTGCTGAGCTGGAGTGTGCAAGCGTGGTTTCGGGATGCACTTTCGCACAGCTAGCTGTCCATGAAAACGAAATCTATGTTTGTATATTGGTTTATCTGCGACCACGGGTCTGTTCTTCTTTCATGCTTCCCCAGCTTCATGCAAACATGTGTTCATGACATGTGCATCTGCAGCAAGTTGTTTACATATGTGAGCCTATGGCACTGTACACAAGAGAAAGAGAGAAACCGTGTCGGCTAAACCCATAAGGGTAAGACCAGAAACATACTTAAGGCAAGTACACGAGCGCATACTTATTTTGTGCTCTTACAAATCCTAGTGTTCTAGCAGGTGATACATTTAGATTTAAATGCCTGTGCCTTAAAACTGATCTAAGTTACTGTAAGCATGTTGACTGTTACTTTCTACTATTATACCTGTAGCTGTATTGTAAAACAAACTATTCTAAATAGTTTTTATAATTGTAATAATGCAAATAAAATTATTTGATTCATTTAAGTTTTGTGCATGCTAATTTGCCATATTGTTGCATTTAGATTACCTTTGACGTAATCTAATGATTACCTAAAGTTAATATTTAAAAACACTAATAATTTAATAACTTAATCTTAATCTTGAATATTCATTTTTCATATAAATTCATAATTTTTTTTTGTATTTATTTTTGACAAAATGGTATATATTTTTGATTGGTCATTAATTGGTTGTCAGTTATAACATAAAAATCATTTTTGGCTTATCGGTTTCAGCCAGAATTTTAATATATCGAATGGACTTGTGCACTGCAGAGTACATTCTGACCTTAGGAAGCATGCACATATTTCATTTTTTTTTTTTTTTTTTTTTTTTTTTTTATATAAATTCTGTTATATTTTATTGGAAACCCAGAGGCTGACAAAGAGAGAAAAAGAGAAAGGGGTTGTTGAGGACAAAAAGAGGCTTGTTTTTTCTGGAGGCTATAAGTTAATAAAAGGGTTGAGATTGCGCTACCCTGCAGGAGAGAATCCTGTTTAAATGTTAATAGGACACGGACTGAATGGCTTTAAGGGTGTGTTTTGTTGTTCATGAACTCTACTCTCAAACTAACCTCATCCCTTGGTTTCGTCCACAGTGATCCCAGACTCTTTGACAGTGACGGCCACTGCTCAAACTCTCTCGAAAGTGGAGGGGGACACTCTACAGCTGAGCTGTGAGGTCACACGTCAGACATCCCAGCATACTCATGTGTCTGTGGGCTGGTATCTACGTCCTGCTGATGACCCCAATTCTGGTCCACGTGATCTGGTCACTCTGTCACGGGACTTCGTTCTAAGGCCGGGGGGACAGTACCGCCAACGTCTATCTTCAGGAGACCTGCGGCTAGACAAGACCAGCGCCACATCCTACCGTCTCACCATCTACAAACTGCAGCCCACAGACCAGGGAGAGTTCTACTGCGAGGCCTCTGAATGGATCCAGGACCCGGATCGCTCCTGGTACGCCATGACCCGGACGGAGTCAGAGAAGACGTCTGTCAAAGTTCAGCCCACAGGTGAGTGTGAATTGTTTGGGGGGGGGGGGGGGGGGGGGGGTCCAACACAGCATCTTTCAGAGAGAAATTGCTTTTTCAGATCCTAATTGCTAGTTATACACTGAGGTTGATTTAATTTAACACATTGAATAGAAGAGGTGTTGGTAAAGAAAAGCATTGTTTTCTTCTCAGAGGTGGAAAAGCACATATGTGAGCCACATTCAGTTGCTGTGGGAACGTAGCCGAAAAGATTTTTTTACAAAAGTGAAGACTTTGGAAATTAGTCAAAGTAGACATCATGTTTAATGTGATATGAACAAAAATGAGTCTGTGAGGGATTGAAGTACTGTACAATGCTTTCAATTGGCCTCATTCATGAAATGTGAAAGAATTTGCATATACTTTGCATAAATTCAATCTTATGTAAACTAACATAAGAATGGTTAATGAACAATTTACAAAAAAACATGTCTTCAATTTGTGATTCTTGAAGGATATGTATTGTGTATCTGGGTGTTATTCGTTCAGCTGATGAAACATGGAAAACATATCTTTCCAAAACATTTCCAGTGGACAAACAACTTTGAAATTGGACCATTATACATGACCTAAGACTGGATAATTATCCAAAAATGTATATTTTTACATAATTTACTCACCCTTATGTTGTTCCAAACCTGAATGATTTTCTTTCTTTTGTGGAACACAGAGTATATTCTGATAAATGTTTCAGTGTTTTTTGTCTAAAGAATGGAAGTCTTTGGTCACTAAAACGGTTTGGTTGTCAACATTCTTCTAAATGTCTTTTATGTTCCACAAAACAAACTCATACAGGTTTGGAACTATCCCTTTAAGACAGTGCGACTTATTCAACAAACTGTACTATCCTTCACAATCTTGTTTTTGATTATAATAAATATAAAGAAAATATAGTGCTTTATATAAATTAAATATAGTGTCTGCTCTAACTAAGGTGATAATTTCTTCAAAAACTTTCCTCCACAGATATCTATATTATAATTCACCCCCACTAAACAAAGCATGTCATGCTCATGGTTACCATGCTCTGTAAAACAGGGTATACATGACTTCCCTGCAGAAATGCTTCAATATGCCCTGTGAGCTGATCACTATCTAAAGTTAAGCACATTACCAGTCCCTGAGCTGTGGTTGCTGGTCCTCTTAACATTGAACTCCCTGTCATAGAGGACAGAGCAGGCATTGGCTCTCACATGTCCACTCCACTCATTGATATTGTGAGTGTCATGAGGGTTATCATAGAGCACTGCGTAGTGCAGTCTCAGTGGTCTCTTAGCATTAGGTAATGAGCCAGTCGCATTGACTCATGACACCAACCCGTCAGTTGAGTAACCACCAATGGCTGACATCTGCTTGATGACCAACATTTTTATTGGAAAAAATGTAAATTCTGTCGTCGTTTACTCACCCTCATGTCATTCCAAACTCACAATGTTGTCACAAAACGCAAAATGAGGTATTTTGAAAAATGTTTCAACTGTTTTTGTTCCGAACAATGAAAGTGAACATAGTACAGAACGAGAGTAAGAGATAAAGGATATTCTGAGAAATGTTTCAGTGTTTTCTGTCTAAACAATGGAAGTCTGTGGTCACTGAAACTGTTTGGTTGCCAACATTCTTCAAAATGTCTTTTATGTTCCACAAAACAAATTTATACAGGTTTGGAACAACTTGAGGGAGAGTAAATGATGACAGAATTTTCATTTTTGGGTGAACTATCCCTTTTAGACGGTGCAACAAATTCAAAATGTATATATACTGTACATATTTTGTGTTCCACCGAAGAAAGAAATGTCATAAGGGTGATTAAATGATGACAGAACTTTAATTTCTGGATGAATTTTTTTAATTTTTGAAAAACGCCACAACAAACTTGTAGCAAATTAGCAGTAGGGGTCGTGTCCAGTCATGATGGGAGAGGAGAGAGAGTGAGCTGAGCTGGAGGGAGCATTTGAAGAAAGACTAGAAAGAGATATGGCTGAGAGACATTACAAAAGAGAAAGCTCAGAGGAATATCACTGGAAAAAAATGGCTATGATCAGGCAAGAGGTCTAGGACCAGTGATGATGTTAGAAAAGCTTTCCAGTGCTGGAGAGACCTAAGCAGTAAGGCCTGAAAACAGCCGCTGAGGTTGCATTGTTTCTGCTCCATACGCGAGTAACATTGGTTTTTAGTGTCATGTTTGGAGACGGTGTGCGGCTGGTGTCAAACAACAAACTCTTGCTTGTACACTATGTACTCTTGTGTACTGTATGTTATTTTTTGTGCTTCTATGTCATTTGTTCGCCATCTTTGCTTTATTTTTCACAAATATTTCTGCTTTGCTTCTGCAATGATTAAAGAGACACTCTTGCATTGCATGTTTGTGCATTTTGGGGGTGGAGCAATGAAGGGAGGTATGTGTTTGTTTGGGTTGATTTCGAATATTAACAGTGTTCAACAACGATTTTGAGAAATCGCATACTGCACCTTTACCTATCCCTTTCAGTTGTCAAATCAAATATGGCACCTTTAGACACTGTGCCAGGCTTTTGGCCATTAGATCCGATGATGTTTGATATCACTGGTCAAACCTCTTGTGGCACTAAATTTTGCACTGTGTGTCTCACAGCTGTCATATTATGTGAGATATTCTTTAACACAATGTAGAGGGTGTCATAGATCTGAACTTTTTCTCTCTCCCCTTCTCCAGAATAGCTATATTTCATGGGACAGAGGCTGGGGCTGAAAAATGCCCCCCTCATCTCTGGCTTTAGTCCATTACTTTCCAATTTATTACAGAGCCGTAGCTCCATCCTGAGCATAAGACGGCATGTACAGCAGACATGAGCGCTGTCTCTCTCTGACTGACTGAACACAGGGCAGTAACTCAATCTCAAAGCACGCTGGCCCGGCGGTTTGATGGGAATGGGAGGTGACAGCGCACCTCCTCATCAAACACGCTGCGGGACGGAAGCTGCGAGTGGCATGTTAATTCAGACCTGTTATTGGTCAAGAGTCCCAGGGGTGGGCGGATTGGACGAGGAGAGGACAGGCTGTGATTTTAGGGTGTGGATGTTGGATGGTTGTCTCCCAAGGGCACCTCCACAGAAGGCTGCAGATGGGGACCAAGTCTAATGCATGTGATTTGTGTGTAGGATCAGGGTGCGATGAATGCAGACCAGACAAACTCCTTATAGAGACAGATTGGAGACTCATCCACTTCCCTTCAGCTTACCTGATCAATTATTCTTGTTACATGTGTCATGTAACACTAAACACCTTGACTGTAAGTGGAGTTTGGGTATATCACCAAAAAAAAATGAAATCCTTTTAATCTAAAATCTTAAAGTAAATCTTTTACTCACCGTCATGTTGCGCCAAACCCTTATGACTTTGTTTTGAGGAACATAAAAGAAGATATTTTGAAGAATTTTGGTAACAATTGAAGTAGGGCTGGGCGGTATGACGGTATATATCGTTACCGCGGTAGAAAATGTCAACCGTAACAGATTTTTTTATTCCGTGTATACCGCGACATGTAAATAAGTGGGCGTGGTTAACTCCCGTGCAGCGTGCATTAGACTGAGACACCAATTTTTATTTATTTATTATTATTTCATGTTGTTATATGGTTACCATTAACTTCTATTATAATAAACAAACTGAACCAAATACAAAATAAGAATTGTTTATTACATATTTTAGATCCATTTTAATACATACGCTTGGGAAAAGAAGCTAGTAATAGATTAGTATCAATGAATAGAATACACAAACAAATAGTATAATACATAAGCAACATGAATAATCAACCATGTATATACAATAGGCTATACAAGAAAAGACATCTCAACAAAATGCATGGAAACATGTAATAAATCAATGTAAAAAAAAGAAAGTGCATCTTCACTTATGTTAAGTTTTGTTAAGCTTGTTAAGTCTGATCCAAATCCAAAAGCTCTATCAGATGCCAAAAACAAACAACAAACGGTGCTAATATACACTCATTGTGCTGTAAAATTCCTGAAAATTATGATCCTAACTTTTATCTCCGAAAACTCAGATGGTTAGTTATTCAGCTATTTTGAATCGTAAAATATTGAAGCCTGGGATGCCATGAGACTGGAGACTGTAATGAACACTATGGCTTTTGAAAAGCTTAAATGTGTGACTTGAATCAACAGGACTCATAAATGGTTGTTGAGTATTCTCACTAGAAACCAGATAGATAGTTAAGGTGCAGTATAATTATCTGTTGTTCATTGAATTTTCACTGGTGAATTCCAGTCATTTCAATAAGAATCCACACAATCAGCAGTTTTGTGTGTGGTCAAAAATGTCACTATGGAACCAAGTTGGTCACTGGAATTGGCTGGGTTTGACCAACAGAAAGCTGCTTGAAAGTGCTTCCTGTGTGAGCTGTGCTTCATACATTACGTCACTACACTGCTGACAATGGTCAATAGACTTTTTTGCCAGTGTAATTTCACGAATTTCACAAATGTGACCGCACCTTTACTCGCTGCAACATAAAATGCAATCAACAATAAAATCTTCCCAAGGGACATGTGAGGTACTCAACGAGTAAAAAAAAGTGAAAAGATGCAGCAGCTTAATTTTCCGTTTGTTTTTCCTCTTTTCTGGTGAATGGTCCAGGCACTTCAATGATTTTCAGGTCCACAGGAGGATTTTTATTCTTGTTCAAACTTGTATTTCAGCTTACCGAGGTCCCTGCAAAGAACCAAAATTACAATGTTATTAAAGTGATAGTTGTGAACTTAAAATAATTTCCTCAGCCTTGTGACATTCCTAACCTGTTTGACTTTCTGTCTGTGGAACCCAAAAGCAGATCTCGGGCATAATGCAACCCCAGTCATCATTCAATTTCACTGCATGAGACAAGCAGAACAAAATTGTGTAAATCATTCATGAAACCATTCTTGTCTACACTTGTCTAGTTCAATTCAATGCAACAATTTTTGTAAAAATGGTATAATGTA